AGACAACTACTGGTAATTCACATCTTACTACGTGGGATTCTTTGTCACAGCAGACAACTACTGGTAATTCACATCTTACTACGTGGGATTCTTTGTCACAGCAGACAACTACTGGTAATTCACATCTTACTACGTGGGATTCTTTGTCACAGCAGACAACTACTGGTAATTCACATCTTACTACGTGGGATTCTTTGTCACAGCAGACAACTACTGGTAATTCACATCTTACTACGTGGGATTCTTGGCCTATATTAAATGAAATTAGTTTGCTATATATTGAATTTCTTTCACTTGAGATTTTGTGCAACTCCAAGTAATTGAATTTTTTGGAAATATAATAAGATCATCTGGATCATCTGGATTCTCTGATTATTATTTTAATTTTAGAACAAAATGTTGACTGTAACTACCAGGTTAAAACCGCTGTCAGTTGTAGAGTAACTTTACTCATCCCGATTGTTAATAATAAAAAATGCAGATTAAGAAAAATGAATTATTGCTAAACTAGGAAATTTAATCAAAAAATAACAGTTTAATATTGAATGAATCTGTAAATCATTATTAAATTTCTCCTTTTAATAATTTGTCCTTAGTAATGGTTGCTAACCAATTATCATTCATGTAAATATCTTTATGCAATTTCTATTGTATATTACATTAACAAATGTAAATTTCTCACACCACCCAGAAATTTGTTGTATTGGGGGGAAAAGGAAGAAATCTCTGAAAATGAAATGAATATTTTGTATGATGAGTAAAAAAAAAATATGTACCCGGTAGGCTTCTCGAAGCATCTTGTCTATGTAAAGGGGTTGCAATCGTATTTAAATAGAAAAGTGATTCACCATTTATGTTAATGGTTTGGGGTTGGTATGCAATTATTAAAGTCCACTATAAAAGTACGAACCATTTATATTAAGTGTGCAGCAATCATGTTGCAACGTTTAGGGACTAACCATTCAAATTTATGGGGGTTACATCAATCGCTTGAAGTTTAGATTCTGAACAATTTTTAAGGGCTGCAATGATATTAATATGAATAAGGATTATAAAATTATGTTAATGTTGGATTTAATCATATCTAACAGTACATGGACTTGCATACTATATTAAATTAATGGACATTACCCGGTAATGTGTGTTGGGAGATAAATACTTTGAATTTAGGTACAAATTTATTGCCTAAAATTTCTGTCTTTTGATCATTTGAAGGTGTTAGGGTTGGAGTTTTGCCAAATTCATTGTTACTCACCAGTTAAAGTTAATGTTCACTACTACAAATTGTCATCCTATTTCTGAAATCTGTAAAAAAACAACTCCTCATATATGATTAAATTTGTTTTTAATAGAATGTTATGTTGTATTCACTATGATTTACCTTAGAACATTTTGTTCAAAATGACAACTACTGTAGCATCATTGGACATTTCTATTTATTTTCACATTTTAGCAGAAAATACAATTTGAAAAAATACCAGCAAATTGCTGATGTCCGCTGATCTAAATCTAAATCTAAATCACTGTACATAAATGTATAGAAATCAGAGGACATCTCTTGATATAGCACAATGATTAAATCAATCTAATGTCATTGTACACAAAATAATAAATAAGGGGAATTTAATTTGACTTTCAATAATGTAGATGCTATAATATATCAGGAATACTTATATTGTATTTTGTAATATTAATAATGTGTCTGACAGGAGGATATACAATCCAATATGTGATGGACTTTTCCCTGTTCAGATTTTTTTGTGTACAATTTTCCAATTCATTGAAGCAGTTGCCTGGGGCTGATAATAGGTGATTTTCCGTTCAACTGCGAGATCTCGCGAGATGCATGAAAGACGTGCGTTGAGCGGCTGCCGCAAAAAACGGAAAACGGTTTATTGTCATGGCCTAAGATGACTGCATTTGTCAATGAATAGTCTCACTGTATCAGTGTTTTCAGCACATTGTCCGCTGACTCGTTTTTTTTCATTCATTGTGAATGTTTTATCTACCTACTGGTACTGTTATTTATAAATATTATTAGTCGCCGTTCAGACGAAGTCCGAAAACGGGGACTTATAATTCGGTCTCCGTGCGTCCATGCGTCCGTCCGTCCGTCCGTCCAGAGTCATATCTCAGAATCCCTTGGACCGATTCTGTTCATTCTTTGGATGTGCCTAGTACTTTATGTGGGACATATGCACATGCAGTGGTTTAGCGATTCGATTCAAAATAGCCGACTGGCAGCCATCTTGATTTTGAAAATGTTGTATTTTGGACATGCTTTGTCAGTTGTCATTCAAACTTGGTACATAGATTATACATGTTAGGATACATGTCCATGACGATTTATTTTGCAATTGGATCAAAGATGGTCGACTGGCAGGCATCTTGTTTTTGTTTTTTTATGCGGTATCTTGGACGTGCTCTGTCAGTTTTCATTCAAATTTGGCACATACATGTACTTTATACAGGTTAGGATGCATGTCCATGACAATTTGTTTCAAAATCTGGTCAAGGATGGCCGATTGACAGCCATCTGACTTTTTGGCCTTACTACTATATTTCCACAATTTATGTACCATTTTCATTCGTATTTGGCACATATATCATACATATCAGTGTGTTTCATAATCAGATCAAAGATGGCTGAATAACGGCTGTTTTTATTTTGGCCATATTACTATGACACGAAACACGTGTTTTGATGTAAATAAACAATCTGTTGTATACGCCACTTGGAACTCAAGTTTCAAGGACACGCTCGCGACAACCCCTCCGCTTTAATATGACGAGCACAAAGAGAACTTAACGGGGACTGTGTCATTTTCAATGACTTGTTATATAAGCAGTCTGGAGGGTAGTATGTATACAGAATGTGCATAGGAAGTTTCGTTCTCAGGTTTACTGTATACGAGATCAGTACCGTCAATAGACCGACGCAACGAAAACAGACAAATAAACTTGAGTCGGTGGATTATCTTCGCGACCGTTTAGCAACATTCTGGTCGTGTGTATCCGGTGGACTGCCACCTTTTTTTGTTGGCCATCATCAACTTGAATTAGTTCCACGTCATATTTTTCCGCCGATGTATAAATTACCGAGCGCATGATGTTTCAAATCATGGCACATGAAGACTGCTCTGTATTTGTTTGAAATTCAATTGCTATGTTAAACAAGCAAATTGTAATCCGTTCTTAGGATGTTTATACCAGTTGTTTTGTGGGATTAGCGGTACAGGGGGAAAGATAAGCATTCATCTACTCAGTGGACAGAGGGGGAGTTAATTACCCATGAGCACTTGGTGCAATCCAAGTGATTGAGCGGTTTCCCTTTAAATCTGTTCATATTAGTTACCTTATTTGCATAAGCTTTTCCATCAATATCTCAAGTACAAGTAATTATTAATTAATTTTTACCGTGTCTCCAATACTTTCAGCAGAGTTCTTTCTTTGATTTTTGTTTTGTTTTTTTCACCAGAATAAAATCAGATCTGGTGCTATTATTGTAAGTGGTGGTTTTGCAATGTTTGCAGGCATTTGCACATATGCTGGACAAGAAAGATTTTATCGTGAAATTCTTATGCCTACAGTGCGGACTGTTATGGATGCTGATAGAGCTCATGTCTTTGCAGTGAAAATGGCAGCATGTGGTCTTGTACCACGCAATAACTACACTGATCCATCATTGTTGGTGAGACATTAATTTTAAATAAATGTTCATTACATATATCATCAAAATTTAAAGATATTTTTTGTTTAATTTAATAGTCACTAACAGACTTCCCTTTGCCCATCAAATATTGTTTCCATTCTCTGTGATCACATCCAGTGTTCCTATTACCATGGTTACCCTCTATCAGTGGAACAATGAATGCAAGGTAAATATGGAAGAAATAAAGAAAGGTGTTTAATTGCTGAAAGTAAATTTATATTTTACCTGTCTGTATCAATACAAACAAGAATGAATAATGAATGCCTACCTTATTTGTCAAATTTGCATCTCATTATGTCAGGTTTCAACCAAAAAATAGAGACTATCAACTTTGTCTGTGAGTCCAACTACAATTACTACAAAAAAGGTCAATTCTTTTGTTACAATGTGTGTCTCAGTTGACATTTAAAACAATGAAATTAGCATATTGCCAACGTTGCGGTGATCATAAAAAAGTAGCATGAAAAGGTAGTGCACATTTTGTGGGTCACTGATTCAGCATGATTCGGTTGTGTACAGTCAAAATTAACAAATAAATGTTATAAAAACTAGGACAAGGTGTTGGTACAGAGAAAACATTTGAACAGTTTAGTCAGATGGATTGAATTGCAGCTAGTATATTATCAGTTTACGATAAATCATGAGAAATGATGGTAAGGTAGAAATGGTTGTATCTTAGTTGTTTAGTAAATATCAAAGAATATAGAATTCATTTCTCATGGTAGCACTTTCTAGCATCTCTGTTTATAAATACTAAATGCAAGTAAGTAAGTCTGGTTTGTGTCCTCAATGATTCCCAAACGTATATATTACATGCGTTTTGAATATAGTGATAATCTTGTGCTATTCCTTTTACATAATCCAACTTTTCTATGTTTTCATTGCACTCTTTGATACCATTGGTTAAAAGCACTGAGATCTTCGTCATATATACAGCACAGCACAGCATAGACAATAATATATATTTTTTTTATAGAGTACTAAACTATGGAATATGAAGTTCAGTAATCCGATTGGTTTAGCAGCAGGTTTTGACAAGAATGCTGAAGCAATAAATGGTCTTCACAAAATGGGATTTGGATTTGTTGAAGTTGGTAGCATTACCCCGGAACCACAACCTGGCAACCCCAAACCAAGAGTTTTTCGTTTAGTGCAAGAGTGTGCCATTATTAACAGGTATCAATGTTTTGTGTTGAAATCTTGTGTTTATGCGCAGACCCTCTGTCTATGGTCTGCAAATGAGATGCAATCCATTGCAATATTTGTAGTAGGTAAATAAACTATTAGAATTCAATTTAACCATGATTTAACAAAATTATTTATTTCAAAACAAGATGTTCTAAAAAACCACTAAACATAGAAAAAAGACATAGACAAAAATAGAAAAAAGTTTTGATACAATGTCCAGTGACATTTCAAATGATCGTTGATTTATAAATGCTACGATCACCTGAACATGACACCAGATACATAGCGATGA